GTGATGGAACGCCTAGTAAATAGACGTTTAGTGTGGTATTTAGAGACACACAACAGTCTCTCCACTCGTCAATATGGCTTTCGTATGGGACGTTCTACCATAGACCCCTTACTACGCTTGGATACGTATGTTCGTAATGCCTTTGCGAATAACCACTCAGTTATTGCCATATTTTTTGACCTTGAGAAAGCATATGACACAACTTGGAGGTATAATATTTTAGCCCAAGCCCACTCCTTAGGCCTTCGAGGCAATCTACCATCCTTCCTTAAGAACTTTTTAACTGACAGGCATTTCCGTGTTCGGGTTAATAATGTGCTCTCCCCGGACTTTATCCAAGCTGAAGGTGTCCCCCAGGGATGTGTTCTGAGCACAACACTTTTTCTCCTTGCTATTAATGATTTGGCCTCTAGTCTTCCATCAAATATTTGGTCATCACTCTATGTTGATAACTTCGCTATTGCCTGTGCAGGCGCTGACTGTCACCTTATTACAGTTTCTCTCCAGCATGCAGTCGACCGTGTTTCCAATTGGGCCATCACACGTGGGTTTAAATTTTCCAGCACTAAAACCCACCAAATTACTTTCACTAGACGCTCTGTCATCTCCAATCATCCTTTGTACCTCTATGGCTCCCGTATCCCTGAACGTGATACAGTCAATTTCTGGGCCTCCTCTTTGATCGTAGGTTATCCTGGAAACCTCACATTACCTCTCTGAAGGCAACTTGTCACAGCTGGCTGAACCTTCTTAAAACCCTTGCTCATCTTTCATGGGGAGCTGATCGTTGAACCCTCCTTCGCCTACATTCCACCCTTATCTTATCGAAACTTGATTATGGTGACCAGATCTATTCAGCGGCATCTCCTGCTACTCTCTCTAGCCTTAACCCCATTCATCACCAAGGATTACGTTTATGCCTTGGTGCTTTTCGCTCTTCCCCTATCGAGAGCCTCTATGTAGAAGCGAACTTTCCATCCTTATCCGATCGCCGTGATGCCCATTGCCTTCGCTACTATGTACGCTCTCATGATCTCCGCAATCCTTCCATTTATAGAATGGTCACTGATATTAGTAGACATTCTTTATTTGTTCGCCGCCCCTGTTTACTCCGTCCCTTCTCCCTTCGCCTTCATTCGCTCTTGTCTTCTCTTCAATTACCACCTTTCTATGTACATGTAGCATCTCACTTTTCCCTACCCCCCTGGGAAGTTCCAGCTGTTCGAGTCTGTTCTTTCTCTCTTCCTTGCTCGAAAGCCCAACTGTCTACGGTCGCTTCCCGCTCTGTTTTTCTTGACCACTTTCACTCTCATTCTCATGCCATTGCTGTGTACACAGATGGCTCTAAGTCTTCTGGCGGCGTAGGATTCGCAGCAGTGTTTCCGGACAGCGTCGTACAAGGGCATTTACTATCTTCGGCTAGTATTTTTACTGCTGAATTGTATGCCATCCTTGCAGCACTTATCCGTATTGCATCTATACCTGTGTCATCATTTGTGGTTGTCTCAGACTCCCTTAGTGCTTTACAGGCTATATAGAAATTTGATACACCTCACCCCTTAGTCCTCCGTATCCAACTTTGGCTACGCCGCATCTTTACCAAGCACAAAGATATTGTTTTTTGTTGGGTCCCTGGTCATGTTGACGTACAGGGCAATGAACAGGCAGACACTGCTGCGCGGTCAGCAGTACATGACCTACCAGTTTCATGTAGAGGTATTCCATTTACGGACTATTTTGCTGCAATATCTTCCCAACTTCACACCCGTTGGCAACAATGTTGGTCTACTATGCTCGACAACAAACTTCAATCTATTAAACCGAGTATAGGTTACTGGCCGTCTTCTTATCACCAGTGTCGAGGTTGGGAGACTACTCTCTCCCGTCTTCGCATTGGCCATACTCGTCTTACTCATGGATATCTCATGGAGAGGCGCCCTGCCCCTCTCTGTGAGAATTGCCAAGTTCCATTATCAGTCAGCCACATTCTGTTGGACTGCCCACTTTATCAACGAGCACGCAGAATTTACCTCCGTCATCGTCTTCGCTCTGCTGCTCTCTCTCTACCTTCCCTTCTCGCTGATGGACCCACCTTTCATCCAGACTCTCTCATTGACTTTTTGACAACAACTGACTTACTTCACAAATTCTGATACCTTCAGCCCTTTCTACTTCAATCTCTTGCTACCCTCTACCCCCGTACTATCCCCTGCCCCGCTGTTTTCTGTAACCTACTGATCATCCCTCCTCCCTTCTGCCATCCAATACCCTCGCTTCCTTCCCTACCCTGCAGCGCTGTATAGCCCTTGTGGCTTAGCGCTTCTTTTTGATTATAATAATAATAATACCGATTTCAACTATCCAATACAGTGGTCAGAATTTAGCAGCTTTGCCAATTTCACACAAATTTCAAGAGATGCCAATTTCCAAATAGGGTCCAGAATAAACAAGAAAGACATTCCTGGCACCAATATAACATTTCCTCTGTTCATTAGTCACATCCCCTGGCCCCTCTTACATTCTTTTGCTTTCCACTTTGAATTTTTATTCTCACAAAAAATAGAAGATTTACTGTTATGCAGACTACTGCATTAGTGTAGAAATGGTATAAATAATATCGGCGCACTTTTGAAAGAATATTAGACTCACCAGTTGACGTGTATTGGACGCTTAGCATGATTTGTTTACTTTTGAACTTTGGTAAAAATCGAACATTTCTGCTACTTTGAGCTCAATTTCAAGGTACTTTTCATTGTAAAACCAATCAAAATCATCTCTATTTCTGTAATATGTCTTCCATTCTATAAAATGAGACCAGGAAAACTAGAATACAACAGTAAATACCATACGAAAATACAGTTCAAAGTCGCTGTTTTAATCCAAAAACACGGTCAGTTTTTTTTTTTCTCATTATGCACTGTCTGCTGCAGGATTTTTTTTATAGTGCGCACGCTGACCACATAGACCCATTCTTTCATATGAAGGCCTACCAGCTTTCTCTCACTAGATTTGAGGGTGCTAGAATTTATTTATTTATTTATTTATTTATTTAGAAATTTAGCATACATACAGAGATACAAAAAAATACAGGTTAAGAGCAGCATGCCAAAGCCACTTATATGCATAGCATTACGGGCTGGCTTACAATTAACTTAAGATTAACTAAGCAATGATGAAATCAGTGATAAGACATTATTGTAAACAGATAACTATAAAATACAAATGAGTATTACAAAGACAGGTCATATGGTTGCATGCATTGCTGTTCATTCAATAGAATGGAGTATTCTGTTAGGTAGTGTATTTAAAAAAAAATAACAAAGTTAGGTTTAACATTTGTGTGATATAATTGTGAGTAACATTTAGGATATACAATTTATATGGTTCAGTTATTCAGTATTTATTTGGTTTTGAGTGAGTAAGTGAACTTTGAGAAGAGACTTGAATTTATAAACAGGTAGTGTTTCTTTTATATTTACAGGTAATGAATTCCAGATTTTAGGGCCTTTTATGTGCATTGAGTTTTTGCATAGGCGTACTAGTACGTTTGTCAAAAGCCCTGGTGCGTAAGCCGTACTAGTATGTCCGAAACCCTGAAAGGGTTAATACAATACTGGACTATGCTCTAAATTGGAATGTCAGTTTTATATTACAGTACCTCATTCTTTACCTCTGTAAAAAGCACAAGCTGTGTGTACTTCATTTTCATGAGAAGAAATCCCAATACAGAGTTTAACATTGTCATGTTTTCTCTGCATGTCTTCCAGTGCACTAATATTTATTCAATAAACAGTATACAGATTAAGACCGTTACTGTTAAATTTCCCAAAGGAAAATTTCAGAGCAAGAGCAGCCTTGTATAATTTGTTTATATGAAGGTTTTGATAAATCAGAATTCCTATTTATTTTCACCCCCTGATAAAGCATGTTATTACTTTTAGGATTGGAATGACATTAATGTTCTGAACTATTCCATGCTATTCTTGCAAGTTTGCTTGTTTATGTACAGTACCCTAACAAAACTGCATGACTGGTTTTAAATAAATAAAAAAAAAATAGAATAGAGTCGTTCATATTAAAGAATCATAGAGAATTTTTTTTTTTTTACACCATCTCCCACTGTTCTGTAATTTTATTTTGGGTAATTTTTAGTAATAATTATGCATTTGAGAGAATATTTTTTGCTCTATTAATTGTAGTGATAAAAGCAAGTGAGACCAGTTCTGAATAATTTGAGTTGTGTCATCTACAGTGTCTGCAAATGTAGTATAGGACATTGGTTTGGTAATTTAAATTGTAAATAATTCCTAATCAATGAGAGAGATGCATTTATAGGATAAAAACTTTTAAAAAATTGAATTGATGCCCTGGTCCCCTCAAAACTGGCTCACCTTGATGTAGTGGAGGGATTCTGTGGATTGTGCTTGAGGAGACTTAGTTTTGATTGAGCAATCAGTGGATGTAGAGCACAGCATTTTCTGGTTTAAATAGGGAGGATATGCTCTCATTTATCAATATTTTAGTGCTACACAATCTAAGTGAGTTTAGCACCTTCAAGAAAAAAAATGAAAATATGTTTACCTATTGTTCTTTTAATAAAATAAATACATGCTCAAGTTTCCCTTGGTTCATGTGAATTAACTTATATGTGGTGATCCTATTTCTACCAGTAATTTACTAGATGCTGAATGAATTCACTCTCGTGCAGCAACCCTACCCCACCACTTCCACTTGATTATTTTTTAAGTCTCTCTATTATCACTGTAAACTGATTTATATTTTGATTCATAAGAGTGAAAACAGATTTGTTGCATGAGTTATGGGTTCATATTTTTTATTTTGTTTACATTAGTGAAGAAATATGAAATTTACTAAGTCTCAGAAAGGATCTCCATATTTTGCATCAAGGTCTAGGAACTCAGCTGTCACATGAAGCAAGGGACACCTCTACATGATAATATATTTGATATCTCTTCTCTATGGCTGTTTTTCTTTATCAGTGAGACCAAGGTGACTCATCGCATCGTGCAGTGTTCCATTCTAAATGGTGCCATTTTTGGCCTCAGTATGGCATTCTTCAATTATATTCTGCTGCCAGGACTGAAGCAAGTGCTGGGACTCTTCTTAGATGAAGCAGGTCCATTGTGGGATTATGTGCGGCCAACCCTTACTGTCGTTTTCAACATGCTTTGGGTACTACCGCTGTTTCTCCTCTCCAAGATCATTAACATTGTATGGTTTCAAGTAAGTCTCTTGGTATAAGGATGCTCATTATTAGATTTGAAAGGAAAGGGCATTTTTTTACATCCAGTTACTAAGAATAGATGATGCTATCAGTATCCCTCCTTACTATGGTGATAAACCAGACATGTGCAACACTTTGGTATCTTTATTATGGAAATGTTTACATATAAAGATAACCAAGTGTTGTGCGTGTCTAATTTATCAACTTCTCGGTTCTTTGAACCATTTATTTGCACACTTACTATGGTATGTAATGGTCATTGGGTTAAAAACACTAGAGGTGTTTTGCTTGCTGCGTGATCATACTGTGCTGTTCACAAGTTACTCTCCAAAATATAAGATCACATAGTTAGTCAGATTGTTAAGAAATGCCAGTGATATCAAAGTGAAAAAGAGATGATGGTAAACACAGATGAAGCAGCAGTACAGGGAAGAGGTTATCCTCTTGCTGTTTCCCACTGAGGTAGTGTGACCCAGAAAAGAGGAAAAAACATTCATTGTCACTCAATCTCTGCTTTACCAGAAACACACTGACATCACAGTTCAGATGAAATTTATTTTTTATATACAATTACTACTAAGTACATCTTGCAGGGAAGTAAGGGAAAGGAATGCAGCTATCGTAGTTAGCATACAAAAATGTGTGGTTGGGTTTGAAGTACTGCTAGAAATACAGTACAGATGTAATTTTCTTACCTTAAATACATTGGCTGTTTCCTGCCAAGTTGGGTAGTCCATAGAAGGAAACTTTCACACTCATTCATTCAGTAGCTATTTTGCCAGCCCTGTGCTGACATTCAAATTCAAATGAACCTCTGAACTGCAACATTCTACCTATCTAATTATTATTCATCTTGAAAGTTTGTGAATGAGTGCCTGTAGAACTTATTAGTGAAGTGGGTTCCAAAATCCAGAAAAACCTATATCTAGATTTAATCTATTTGTATGGTATATGTAATATTTAATAATTATATATTGAATTCATGAAGGAAAAAAGGTGAGTGGTGCATTGAGGTATATGTGGAGACAAAAAAACAATATCTATGGAGGCAAAAAAGGGAATCTATGAAAGTATGGTGGTACCAACACACTTATATGGTTGTGAAGCTTGGGTTGTAAATGCTGCAGCGAGGAAGCAGTAGAGATGTCCTGTCTAAGGGCAATGTGGTGTAAACATTATGCAGAGAATTCGGAGTGTGAAAATTAGGAGCAGGTGTGGAGTTAATAAAAGTATTAGTCAGAGGGCTGAAGAGGGGTTGTTGAGGTGGTTTGGTCATGTAGAGAGAATGGATCACAGTAGAATGACAAGGAGGGCGGGGTAGGGGTCGTCCTCGAAAAGGTTGGAGGGATGGGGTAAAGAAGGTTTTGTGGGTGAGGGGCTTGGACTTCCAGCAAGCATGCGTGAGCATGTTAGATAGGAGTGAATGGTATTTGGGACCTGATGAGCTGTTGGAGTGTGAGCAGGGTAATATTTAGTGAAGGGATTCAGGGAAACCAGTTATTTTTATATAGCCGGATTTGAGTCCTGGAAATGGGAAGTACAATGCCTGCACTTTAAAGGAGGGGTTTGAGATATTTGCAATTTGGAGGGAATGTTGTATATCTTTATACGTATATGCTTCTAAACTGTTGTCCCCCCTCAAGGAAGGTTCCTTGATGTTGGTGAGGGGCTCTTGATTTAGGGAATTGGATCTGTGCTCCAGTTCCCCAAATTAAGCCTGAATGCCTTCCACATCCCCCCCCCAGGTGCTGTATAATCCTCCGGGTTTAGCGCTTCCCCTTTGATTATAATAATAAACTGTTGTGTTCTGGGCACCTTTGCAAAAATAGTAATTATGTATGAGTGAGGTGAAAGTGTTGAATGATGATGATGAAAGTATTTTCTTTTTGGGGATTTTCTTTCTTTTTGGGTCACCCTGCCTCGGTGGGAGACGGCCAACTTGTTAAAAAAACAAAATGTAATATTTGAAATTTCTATAACTTCCATGCTGAAAACATATTTTAACAAGTATTCTCCTGCCACAGGATATTGCTGACAGTGCCTACCGTCAGCGCCAGGGACGCCCACAGCTGATTGGCAACATTAGTAAATTAGTTGCTGATGTTCTTATTTCAGCTTTTATCCAGATGCTTTTTCTTATCCAGGTGACTAGCATATTAACCTAGTCAGTAGTATGTGGTAGCAGGTTGAGGGTCGACAGGCCCTCTCCAAAACTTGTTCTCAGGGTCGGCCAAATTTAAAAAAAAAAATTATTTTTTCTTATGAAAAGGATAGAGAATCTTTTCCCGATCATAATGACACCAAAAGTATGAAATTTGATGGAAAACTTACGGAATTATGCTCTCGCGAAGTTAGTGGTCTCAACGATGTTTACGCATCGGCTATTTTGCCCACTTTGAGCCCTATGTTCGGCCAATTCCAATGTACTAGTCGACAAAAATCATAACTATTTCGCTAGAACTCCATTTTTTTCTATCGAATGAGTATAAGAAACCACCCATTTACCAATTTCAACTAACCAGGAAAGTGGTCAGAATTTAGCAATTTTGCCAATTTCACACAAATTTCAAAAGATGCCGATTTCCAAATAGGGTCCAGAATAAACAAGAAAGACGTTCCTGGCACTAAAATAACAAGTTCTCTGTTTGTTAGTCACATCCCCAGGCCCCTCTTATATTTCTTTGACTTTCCACTTTGAATTTTTATTCTTACAAAAAATAGAAGATTTACTGTTATACAGACTACTTCATTAGTGTAGAAATGGTATAAATAATATCAGCGCACTTGTGAAAGAATATTAGACTCACCAGTTGACATGTATTGGACGCTTGACAATGATTTGTTTACTTTTGAACTTTGATAAAAATCAAACATTTCTGCTACTTTGCGCTCAATTTCAAGGTACTTTTCATTGTAAAACCAGTCAAAATCATCTTAATTTTTGTAATATGTCTCCCATTCTATAAAATGAGACCAAGAAAATTAGAATACAACAATAAATACCATACGAAAATGCAGTGCAAAGTCGCTGTTTTATTCCAAAAACACAAAGTTTTTTTTTTCTCATTACACACTGTGCTGCAGGATTTTTTTTATACTGCGCACACTGGCCACATAGACCCATTCTTTCATATGTAGGCCTACCAGCTTTCTCTCATTAGATTTGAGGGCGCTACAATTTAGGCGTACTAGTACGTCAAAAACATTGGGTCGTAAGCCGTACTAGTACGACCAAAACCATCAAAGGGTTAACTAGTTAACAATGTGTTGTAAATGTTGGTTTTTTAGCCTTGTCAGTAGTATATATGGTAAAGGTTGATAGTGCATTAACCTAGTCAATAGCGTATAATTATTTGTAGCTACATTAGCTTGTGGTGCCCCATATTCATTGATATGTTCATTGCATATTTTTTAAAAATTAAGAAATGTAGCACTTCGTCATCTTTCAGTACTCGATTTGTAAAGGCAAATTCCTTAGCATCCATGTTTTCCTAGTTAATCTGTGGCCTCTTGTTATGAGGGACTGACAAGGTTTGTCAGTCCCTCATTCCTGTTTCTTTTTCCTCTCCTAGGTCATATTTGACAGCATGCTAGTTCCAAGAGAAAAATATCACTCTTTTCAAGTGGTTTTTAGATAGCTTGTTTCAACTTTCATCCTTGCTCTATTAATTATCAAGTCAAATATTGACTGTGTCACTTTTTCTTATTTACATCTCTTCATTTATGTGCTGATTCGTTAAAAAATCCATCATTATGTTAAGGAACTGTTGAATATGTATTTACAGCTCCAGCTTCATAGGGTGCTCAATTTACTTAGTTTAAACCTCCACTTAAAGTATGATAACTATTTCAGACACTTATAGTTTCCTTATTATATAGTCCCCTCACTTGTCAAAAATTTTTTCTCTCCAAAGTCTTATTAAATGGTGGGTTGTATACATTGTCTACCATAATTTTCTGATCTTTTTGGATTTCTACCACTAAAATTTCAGCATTAATACTAAAACATTGATAGTGTTAACCTGCTGCCTGCTCAGTAGTGTATGTTCAGAAAAGTATTCTCATTAATGTATAGTATTCATTACTGCCATTTTAACTGAGTGGCTTCTTGAATTCTCATAGCTGTTAAGTCAAATTATATAATAAGAGTAATTATACTTATTGCATATTTATGGATTGGACATAATCACAGATGAATTTGGTTTTACAGGCTTACTTGGTGATGATGTTACCTTTGGTGGGTGTTGGGGTGACACTAAGTGGCATTCACATGTGCATGATCCATGCACTCTATGCCTTCGAGTACAGGTGGTTCAACATGGGGTGGGAGTTGTATAAGAGACTAAGGTGAGTTGTATGGTAGAATAGTGATGATTACCCACCTGACCTTCAAGACTGACCAGGCTTCCAGGCATTTTGCAGAGATTTCCACTGACTTAGTTGAAATAAAGTTGTTGTTCATGCCATTTGAAGTTTGTAACTGATGCAATAATGATACATAATTTACTTTATATATTGTGTTCTGAGAAAGAATTGTTGTACATGAAATTTAATGGTACTGTTCTGTGATAAAATATTAATCAAGTAATAGTAAAAATTGTAACATGGCATCTATGTTTCAGCTTTATTGAGGAGAACTGGCCGTACTTCATGGGATTTGGCTTTCCCCTGGCTCTTATCACAATGTATCCTTCATCAATATATGTCAGGTGAGACCTAGCTTGTAAAACATAAGACAGTTCGACTACATGAAGGTCATTACAGCTGCAGTTCATCTAGACACAGACATTGTGCTTAAAGTAAATCCTTTAGGACACCCACACCTGATGTATATACAGGTCAGCCATCACTAATCTGGCAATAATTTTGGCTAGCATTATACTGACTCAGAAATTGTGCAGATGCTTGTAAATCCACAGCAGCAAGCCAGTGGAGGAGAAAGCACTGATGAAAATGAGGAAGATATAGCAGAAAGTCTCTCTGTTGATAGGTTAATTAAGTGTATTCTAACCAAACCACTCTGTAATCCGGCAAACTACAGGTCCCAATGATGCTAGATTAGTGATGGCCGACCTGTATTTGGTGATACCAACTTGTCTGCATGGAAAAGTTTAAGGTCATACATCACTTGTTCCAGTCAAAATGGCTGTAAACTACAAAAATTATTATTATTAATTATAATCACGGGAGAGCGCTAAACCCGTAGGATTATACAGCGCATGTGGGGGGGGGGAATGGAAGGTATTCAGAGAACTGGAGCACAGATCCAGTTCCCTAGATCAAGAGCCCCTAACCAACTTCGAAGAACCTCCCTTGAGGGGAAACCATAAAAAAAGATACATCTTAGTGCATATACTGTATATTTATTGTGTGTAGTATAGGAATTTCTAAAATGGATTATATTCATGTATGAAATCACACATTAAAATGACAATGCATGTCATCCTGTTCTTATATATTTTTTCAGAGGGTGCCTCTTCGCTTTGTTATTTCCTGTTTTCATCATCAGTGCCAATGAAGCTGATCCAGTGCTCAACTCAAAGTAAGTTCTTTTGGTGTAGTATTGCAAGATTAGTATGATACCCATAACACTCCAGCTCGGCCACAAATTGAAAATGGAAACAGCAACGTTTTGGTTCATTGTGTACCAGTCAGATCATGAATTACTAATAGTTCTGGATGGACTGAAATATCAGTCATAACACAGTACAGGTTGACATAATTTTAGCTGTTAAAAGTTCCCAAAAAACATCCCATGATCTTGACAAATATCAGTAGAGGTGTTGTCTGTAATGCAATAGTTATTAAATCCATCTATTTTTTTTTTCTTTTTAGGCAGATTATGATAATAAATTTTAAGTTTATCAATTGTTACATTCATTAAGTACTACTGTAGTACTTAATCTTTACATTTTTTAAATATCTTTCCAACTTACTGCTCATCCTTATCTAAGGTATAAGACCATCTCATAGTATGCAACCCACAACAGTCAATTAACACAAAATTCTTATTGTTTGGTGAACAGGGTTAGAAAGTGTAAGGAGACTTGTATATGTTTTGCTATACTTGAAGAATTATATCTGGGTTCCTTCAGTTGTTAGCTGAATGTTCTACCATTAAGCTAGAGGTCAATTTGTAACTACTCTGACCATACTCTTGGAAAAAAAAAAGGTATGCTGTGGTTCACAGTGAATTAGTATTATTAAAATCAGGGGGAGCACTAAACCTGTTCGGATGGATGGAAGGTATTCAGACAACTCGATTAAATTATAATAAAAAAAAGAAGCACTAAACCTACAAGGGTCATACAGTGTTGCCAGGCAGGGAAAGATGCAGGGGTAGTGGGTAGCAAGAGGAAGAGGGATGATTATTAGGTCATGGAGTGCAGATCCAATTCCCTAGATCAAGAGCCCCCTCACCAGCATCAGGGAACCTCCCTTGGGGGGAACAGTGACTTAGAGTGCAATCCTATAGTTGAAGATTGAGACACTTATGCACCATATGGGAATCTTTATTTAGGAAACATTTCGCCACACAGTGGCTTCATCAGTCCATTACAAACTTGTCAGTTTTCAAAACCATTCATCACAATCCTATAGTTCTTCTTTCAACAAACCAACCATATCCCACTGAAGCAGGGTGGCCCAAAAAGAAAAAAAAGTTTCTCTTTTTAAGGGGTTACTAGCCCCTTGCTTCCAGCATTTTAGTCGCCTCTTACGACACACATGGCTTATGGAGGAAGAATTCTGTTCCACTTCCCCCATGGAGAGTCATAGTTATTAGCTTAAAATGTCTAATAATAAGTAGATGCAAAAGCAATTTCAGTAGGACATAGATTATTATAATCATAACCAAGTGCTAAACCCATAAGGGTCATACAGCTCTGCATAGGCTTTAGGTATAACCTTTGCAAAAGTAGTGGTTGTCATCTTTAATATTTTAGATGCAAGAGGTGGTAGCAGCTCCTAAGCCAGAGGCACTGTAGAATATTTTATAGGTTTTGCATGAGTAATAGTCCACTATGTAGAGAATGTACTGGGTAAATACTTAAGTACCGATACACGTTAGATTATACTGGAATATTTTTACAAACTGCATCTAATACAAAGATAATATTTTTAGAATAAAATAACATAGTGGTTATGTATCACATATTTTACTTTTCATATTTTGCAGTGGTTACCAAATGCAGTTGTTCTCTCTGGTTGTGGGTGTGTCCAACCGCATCATCCAGATTCTAGTCAGAAAACGTCTTCCACCAACCCCCAGCCAGTCTCCTCGGCCGTCTCCTTCCCACTTTACTGTCAGTCATCCAATTAGACGTTAGCAATGTTATATGCTCACTTGATTGGTAGTTGTACCATACATTGGTTCAGCAGATGGTAAATGGCTGCTTCAAAACTTAAGCAGCAATATATATGCCCTATTACTTGGCAAGCAGTTTTTTTCTTGTACATTCAGGATGATTTTTACCTCATGCCACACAGCTGGAAGTCATCTTAGCATACATTAAGGACAATAATTTTAAGTCGTTTCCATCTTTTTCCAAAAAATCGTCACATTAGAGAACACTATGTTCTAATAAGTCTGTTAAGAAGGTATTCCTGACAGGGATGGCATTTTGTTATTTGTTTGGAACTTATTCCACAGGCTATTCAAGATTTATAGTACCTTTAAACTATTTTTCCTGCTAGGGAATATATTCAATAGAAGTATTATGATCAATGAGGAAAATGTGTAACTTTAAGGATATAGAATTGATTTGTGAAGACTGAAAAGTACAGAGCATAAAATGTACTTAAATAATTCAAAGGGTGAGACAGCCCTTATGTACATGACCTAACTTGAAGTGACAGTGAATGCCTGGAAACTCTAAGACTTTGATATAGTACAATGGTGCAGTGAGAATGAAAGATTATGTATTGTTTGCGAGATGTAACTAAGTTTTTTAAATTAATAATTAAGTGAAATGGAAAATGTTTAAAATATTTTATTATAGAAAATAGTAAAAAGACTTGTTTACAAGCTAAGACATGTAATTAAACATTATATTTCTTAGATTCACGAGATAAACTGATGCTTGTGGTCTGTACGTCATAAAGGCTATTACTGTACAAATCATTGAGATCACAATCCCATGCACTTTGACTGGCAGCAGCAGCACTTGTCACCAATGCTATTTATACTGTAGTTCAGTTCTATTGTAATTTTTTTTATACATATAAATGAAAATTTTCTGGTAGTATATTTTACAAGTTACCCTTATTCAGTGTAAAATATTAGAAAAAATCAGGAAAGAGGGAGGTGGATTGTTTTGATACAAGGAATTAGCAAGATTGGCCCATGGTTTGGGACTTCCTGTCTAGCTAATGTATTCCTGTACCTTGAATCAAACCCATATTTTACATTCCTTAGGCAATGTATACCACCACCAGGTTCCCCATGAATATAATAATGACCTTCAAGGGAGGTTCTTGATCCATGGCACTTAACTTTTCCTCCCGTGCATCTAGCACTTCCCCTATATAATATAGCCACAAAGGGTATAAAAAATGAATGGGGAGAACCAAAGAGTAATTACAAAAAAAAAGTTAATGGTCATTAACAAAAGTCAAAATGACCCTTGAAGGTTTAGCACTTATAATAAGAGAAGTCCAAGATTGCAAACCATATATGATATTGTGCATTAACAGAATAAGCAAATAAAATAGTCGACTCAAAATTGTAATGACAGTGCAAACAAACCATACCACAGGTTCTATCCCCATCCATGGTATGGTTTAATATTTTTTTTTTTGAGCACATTGGCTGTTTCCCACTGAGGCAAGGTGACCCAAAAAAAGAATACATTATTACTTGCCAGAGGTGTGAAATTGTGAAAAGCAATATTATTATTATTATTATAATCAAGGGGGAAGCGCTAAACCCGGAGGATTATACAGCGCCTGGGGGGGGGGATGTGGAAGGCATTCAGGCTTAATTCGGGGAACTGGAGCACAGATCCAATTCCCTAAATCAAGAGCCCCTCACCAACATCAAGGAACCTTCCTTGAGGGGTGTGAAAAGCAATAATATAATAAAGCAAACAGAATGGTGGAGTAACAAGGTAAGGGCTCTTAATCCAAGACACTAGAACCACTTTACCCTTTGGGTTAAATCTTTTTTCCCTTCTGTTCCCAGATGCTAGCCCCCCCACAGGCTTAGTGCCCCCCCTGAATTTTCGGGGGAGCAGTGCTAAACCTGTAGATCATAAAACATCTGGAAAAAGAAAAAGCAATCATTTTGATCCAAGAGATGAAGGGACCCCCAAATTTCCCTTGAAAGAGCCCCCACCACATCGGGAAAGCTCCCCCCAAGAGGTTATAATAAAATAAAAGAAACAAAAAATATATAATTTTCAGGAAAAAAAAAGGGCCCAAATGCCCAAAAAATGCGATTCACAACAAAAATATACAAATCGTTCAAAAATATAAAATGGGGGGAGGGGGTTGCACATGACGGTAAAATTCTAAAAACCACTTTGCCAAAAAATGTATTTAAAAAGCACTCAAAATACACGGAAAATGCTTTTTAAAGGCAAAGTTAAACATCACCAAAATTTCCCCGGGGAAATGTGGCAAGGCAAAATTTAATCAGTTTAATTTAAAGGGAAAGGGGGAAGGATAGCTAAAAATTATCAGATTGGACCCCTTCAAACCTCTTGGGGGCTGTATAGCCTTGTGGCTTAGCGTTTTTTTTGATTATAATAATAAAATAAAAACCTTTGGGAATAAAAATTTTCAGGGCAGTACCAAGAAACGAAACCCATTTCCTTGGAGGGTTTTTTAAATTTTTCCCATGAAAAAGGTCTTCTCCAATAAAGTTACACCCCCCCCCCCTTAGTTTTAAAGCTGATTCCCTCCCTTTCCTAGGCACTTGACCCTTATCCTCTTCAGGGGGGCTCCTTGGCGTGGTGAAGAGGCTTTTGGTCTAGGAATTAGACCATCGGTCTTTTTCCTCAGACCAAAACTAAATTACCCCCCAATTCCCCCCCCCTATCCCATCCTCCCCCCATCCCCCCCTTTTTTTCCTTTCCCCTCCTCCCCCCCATCCTCCCTTTTGCCCTTCCTTTTTTGTCCTTGGGTTTTCTCCCCAGGGCGCATTTTCCGGGGGTAGGAGAAAGGACACCGGGGTCCATCCCATTCCGTTAGGTTTCTTGGGTGGCGTAGTTTTCCCGTGGAATCGGGTTTTGCCTGGGGATGTCCCGACCCCTCCCCGGACCCCCGGAGTAGTTTTGGGGTGTCTTTTGGGCGACGGGTTATCCCTGGAACCCAACCTTTCGGATTCCGGGGGTGTGGCTGAAGGAGGTATGCTTTGTGGGGGATACCCGGCCGCCCCCCTTTTTGCCACCGAGGTAGCCCCCGGCAGATGTGAGGTTTCCATCCCGATTGCTGGTTTAGGGCATGAAGGGTGGGGTATGGCACGGGTTCCATGCTGCTCTGGTTCTAGCGGTGCGAGTCCCTTGGGCGGGGAGGGAGTTTTCTGGCCCTTTCTTTCCCCTCCTAAACTATCCTCCCCGGCCCCCCCCTTTTTTTTTTTTTTTTTTTTTTTTTTTTTTTCTTTTTCTTTTTTTTTTTTTAAAAAAAAAAAAAAATAACCTAACCATGGCAGCTCTATTTCCATAAACCTAGTACCCCGGGCCCCCCTTTTGTACCGCACCCCTTCTGACCCCGCCTCGTTTTTGGACCACTCTTCAGACATTCCTCTTCCTTTTACCAAAATCCCCGGCTTTTTCTCACCCGCTTCGGTACTGGGGCCTGGGACTGACTCCTTCGATTTATCAGACCTTCGTCCCCTCTGACTAGCTTCCGGCCTCTCCCTCTACGGTGCGGCAAATTTTCAAATCGCCGACCCTTCCATCGTGGACCAATCGGGGTCCCACGCCAAAACGTCAACGACAATTACCCTGGATACTTCTCCCCTTCACCTTTCGTTCTTCTCAGAAACGATGACCGCCCTTCACTCCTTTTCCAACCTCTTTTCAAAACTGAACAGGGACAAATTCTTCACTTTACGCCCAATTCCTCTAGCCTATCTTTTGACCATAGTTTTGGGCAAGGCACTCCTACCCATGTGGTAAAAATTTTCTTTTCATGCTTTTAAGAGGGGTACGCCATCATTACCGTCAGAATGTACCCAGGCTGGACTCTCCGTCTTTCCCATTAATATTTTCCTGCACCCTTGAAAAACATCTTTCCCCTCAATTTTGTAGTGGAAACCGTTATCTCCCCCATACATTTTTCAACAAAATTCCAGACAGGGGCACCGACATTCCAAACAGCTGGAACTCCAAGTCTCCCAAACCCCAAAGGGTTAACACTTAGTTTTTCCCTGCCCGGGGGGCGGAGCATACCCTAGCAATGTGGTCGTTTAACTTTTGACGCCGAGAACCCCATCCCCCCGTTTTTAGCGGACATCGGTTACAAGTTCGAAAGGTGATCCCTACCCCACAACAGGTAAAAATTGCGGCGTTTGCCATCCAGCGAAATATTCAGATCTTTTCGCCGAATGCCCAGCTGGGGTCCCGTGCCCATTCTAATACTCTTGAAAACGACTCCCTTTTGCCTTAACTGTCATGAGGCTACCCTTCGTACTCTCCCCCTTGTCAGGTTTTTTAAACGGGGGGAAAAACCCGTTCCCCTCAAAGAGACAAAGGTCTCCTTATGCCTGGCAGTTTCCATCTCCGCCCCCAAAGGGGAGCCCCCCACTTTTTTCTTTTTCCCGTGTTTCAAAAATCCCCCCACTTCTGGTTCCCATCTTCAAAAACCCACCTCTGGGTTCCCTCCCCAAAATCACTCCTGTATCTAATCCTTTTGCTGTCCCCCGGCCGGTCCCATTCAACGCCTCAGTCAAATCTCGCTTTTTCGGTTCTCCAAAGCCTCAGTATCGACGAGACCCGTACGACACCTCTTCCAATCGCCCCTCTATTTTCCAAAAGAAAAAAAAAGGGTCCGGGAACACCCCTCCCCACTCCCCTCCCCTTTTCCCCTCCCTGTCTCTGCCCCTATTCCCCCCTCTACGGCTGGGGTTACAAGGCAGAGGTTCCCCCCCCTTCGAAAATGAACTTCCTCCCTTTCCCTCCCAAGTTTTTTTCCTCTTCTGCCACCTCCCAGGTTCCTGTCTTTTCTGCCCCCTCCCACGCTTCTCCATTCCTCCACCCTTTCCCCCCCCCTACCTTGGTACAGTCCAATAAGTTCCAATCTTTACTCCCCCCCCCAAAACCATTCCAATATTGTCCCCCATACGACATCTCTAAATTTCCCAAAAAAAAAACACTTGAAGCAATCTTGAAAATTTTTGCAAGACCAAAACCATCAATGGACACTGATCCACCTTCCCTCTTTCTCTCCCCCTGCTCCATCTGCGCAACCCCTTTCTTCCAGCGCACCGTTCCCTTGCTGCTTGAACATTTTCCACGCCTCCGCATGTATTTTTCAAACCCCTTCTGTCCTAGGAACCCTTACCGGGGATTTCAAGTATCTTTATATGCAAACAGGCCTTTTTTACGTGGAATATCCCGGGGCCTCGGGGTAATCGGGGTGACTTCAGATGTTACTCTCCCATTTCCCCCTGTTGGTGTTTGCTTACAGAAACCAAAAAATTAACCTGCTGTTATTTCTCAATCCAGGCTATTTTTTGTTGTATTCTTCAGATCCTTTTCCTAGGGGCCTTTAATGAAAGTGCCCCTTTTTCCCGCACTGATATTCCTTTCCATCAAATTTATTCATACTTCGCGCTTTACACCACCCCGTATCCATTTTTAATAGGGGGTATACGCTTGTTCTTTATATTCTCCCCTTTCTGGGGCATTACTATTCCGGTTTTCCTTCCTTGTTTCGTCTTTCCCCCGCCACCGATTCTGTTACTTGGTGATTTAATGCCCACCTTTTCCCCTCTGGGGAGGGTCTCACTGTGATTCCCGTGGAATTCAGTTAGGGGCTTTTCTTGCCCCCCCCCCCCTCCAAAGTTTTAAATACAGGTACCCCAACCCTTTTTGACCTCGGACTCATACTCTCTCTTGCATCGACCCTTCATTTTGCTCTTCCCCGCCCCATTAGACTTTTCTTGGTCTGTTTTTCCCGGGCACTGGCAGGATCATTCCCAATCATTCTTTCTTCCCCTTCATATTCGCCCCTTCTTTGCACCCCCCGCTGGCAATTTAATCGGCAAATTGGAACCTTTTTCACACCTGACTG